TCATGTCGGGGGGGGGGGGGGGGATCCTTATCTTCCTGTCCAGGGTGTCCCCGGCTCCATACCTTGTGATTCCTGAGTAGAATGGGTAGATGTGTGATTAGTTTGGTTAAGAAACCTGTGATGAAGTCACTGGCCTTCTCTTGTTGTCTTTCGGTGAAGATGCAAAACCGCATGGCGGTCCTACTCTGCAACCTGAAGCCGGCCAAGATGAGAGGCGTTGTTTCGCAAGCCATGGTGATGTGCGCCAGCTCGCCGGACAAAGTGGAGATCCTGGACCCGCCCCCCGGCGCGTTGCCGGGAGACCGCATCACCTTCCAGGGTTTCCCCGGTAACACACGCCCCTGTCCCCATTGCCTGCAGAACTGAATGTGTTAACACTGAGATGAGTAGAACGTGCCTGAAGTTCACCCCATGCGATGAAACGGAGCTTAACTTATCCCCCAGGGTGCGATTTTCTTTGTTGTCCGACAGCATTACAGAAATAAATCCCAGCACAATAACTCTGCTACTCCAAAGGAATGAATGAATAAATAACAACGAAAAAAACTAATAACTTTAAGTTTTTCTCAAGTCTTTTTTTAATTACTGAGGGAATAAATTCTCCTTGAAAGCCCCCAGCTGGTTCATGTTTTCTCACCTATTTTTTTTACATGCTTGTTTTTATTTGTTCTTCACACATCAGTGTGGCTAAATTTCTGGTTCAGGATGCTTAAGTCTGAACCAGTCGCTGACAAAGCAGTTAAGTGAAGTTTAAAGCGAATGTGACTGATTACGTAGCCACCGTCCGGAGAGTCAAGCTCCGCTTTCCTCCAAAAAACAGCACGCGGCTTTTGGCCTGAGCTACTACTTTCATTATTATTATTATTAGACTCGTTCGCGTTTTTTTCCAAAAAGGCTGAGCTTCTCCTTTTCATGTTTTGGCTGAACGGCTCGCTCCTTAAACGCTCCGTGGCGGTGACTTCTGAGGGCAGGGATGTTTGTGACGATGGCCACTGCCTCGTGACCCATGGATCTATTATCACTATCCATCAGCCTGTTCAGAGTAACCCCGACCTTCCAAACTGATATCTTTACCTCCTCAGTGGGTTTTACTTACACAAAAATGTTCAGTGGGCAGAAGGAAAAATGATTGGTTCAGAGAGATATCCAATCAGATTGTAGAGGAGGTGGGTCCAAGCAACTAGAGGAGGCAGGACCAACCAATCAGGTGTATTGGTCCCGCCTCCTACAATCTGATTGGTTGAGAGAGCCAGTCATTTTTTCTTCTGCCCTCTGTACATTTTGTGTACATAAAACTCCCTTGAGCTTTTTTTCTCAAGCTCTTCAATCTGAATTTCTAGTAAGCAGTCAGAACATCCAAAATCTTCCAAAATGGTCACCGAATGCACAGTTACCTTATTTACTTTTTTGAAAGCCAATTTCACCTGGATAATGATTAAACCAATAGAGAGGTGTAGGGGAATGATAAATCATCCTTACCTCCTCCTGCACACACTGTACACTTTTGGAATTGTCTGGAATTTTCAGAAGTGCTTGATCGTATGTATCTGAATAGCATTACAGCTCTGTTTTGTTGAAGCTTTTGAGGGAGCAGTCCTGTTAGGTCTTCTCTATTTCAGCTTGAAAGCTGTTGTGGGGGGTGGCATCATGTTAATTGACGTCCACCAGTTGTTTAGCTGGTGATGTAATCTGCAAACATCTGGAGGTCTGACCTGGTTCTCCTGCCTTCGTAGGAGAGCCTGACAAGGAGCTGAACCCCAAGAAGAAGGTGTGGGAGCAGGTGCAGCCAGACCTTCAGACGGACGGCCAGTGCGTGGCCACCTACAAGGGCGCTGCCTTTGAGGTCCCTGGCAGAGGCGTCTGCCGGGCCCAGACCATGACCAACAGCGGGATCAAGTAGGACGAACCCGGAAAACGGACACGGAAGGTGGCGTCTTGCACGTCGATGGTGCCGATGAAGAATTGCTGAGGAAGAATAAAGTTCTTGTTAAAGTCAAACTGCATCGGACGTAGTCTTTGTTGTTCTCCATCAGAGGTTGAACCTGTCGATTTCGTGAAGAACATCGTTACATGCGCGGGTCCTTCCATCATCTCACGGCTTATTCCTCTCAGGGTCACAGGGGTGGGACGGGGACCTGGAAATCAAGCCAGACACACAGGTCACCTCATCGCAAATGCTAATGTTATGTATTATTGGTTAACTGATGCTTTTAGTTATTCCCTTTAAACTCTGTGTTTTAAATCTTGGGTTGGCACCCTTCTTTAAGCCGGTATTGTTCTGGAACTGTATTATATCATATTATACAATATTATATCTATTTCACATGGACCGGATGACCTCATAATGAGGTCTGCACGTTTCCTGCTCTGTGAGTATGAGAATGAATACACCTCCATTCTCCCAATGTGCCGGCCGCGGATATCTCGATACCCTGGGCAGGATGATCTCCTGCTTTGTGGTCGTGAACCTTCACAATAATGAAGGCGGAGCCTATGGCACCACGCACACACCTGGCGTCTCCCAACCAGTCACGTCACGGCCAGCGACCTTCTTGGCTGATTGACATGCTTGAGACCCCGGCGCATTGCGTGTGTTTAATGCGTCGGGGCAAAGCGGTCACTACTGCCGAGGTCAAACATCTGCAGTCTTGCAAGAGAGGTGTGGATTTATGATAACTTCTGAAAGTCCTCTCTGCCAGCCCCACTATTCCAGAAGAACAAGGCCGCAGAGACGTTTAGGTTCTCAACTAGATGTTTAATAATCCCTTTTGAAAATATTGTTCTATCACGGTGGTTTAGTGATTTATTTTTGTCCTCTATTCAAAACACATGTGATGATCCCAAGCTGGCTTATTGTCAGTCCTGTTTTCTATTTATCTTTTACTCTCGTGCCCTGGTTCCTAGTTTTTACTCCTGTTTCCCCCCCCCAGCAACATTTGGAAAATATGCTTCCATGGCAGAGAAAAGCCCCAGATTCATGAATGCTTCACATGCTGTCACTGCATCCGGCCTCCAAATCCTGAACCAGGCTGAAGCTCGGCTGCCCTTGACCGCGGCACTCGGAGGTGTGTGTGGTTGTGACAGACGGTGACATGAACTAGGACACACGATCGCCGTATGGTTTAGATGTTTGAAGGGATGGGAGCGACACGGCATAAAGAAACGTCAGTGCGACGGGGCCGTGCGGCGGTCGCCACGGCAACGAGGTCGACCGCGCAAATCCATGCGTCTCGCTTGAACTTTCGCTGGAACCCAAGGTGTTCGGTGGCCTCCTGAACACTCGCTCTGTTTTTCCTTCGGCGTTAATGGGAACGTTAGTCGGGGGTCTGGCCCCGGCGGGAAACCAAGGGACACGAAAGGAGCCGTCTGGAAAGCCTGAATCGAGGGAGGATTCCAGCTCAATCCGAAGAGATTTTCCCCTCTTTCGTGTTCAAACAGCGGGCTGCACAGATGCCAGACGGAGTTATAGTCTGGGAAGGTTTTCTTTGGAAGCCTGGAGCATAATTTGCACCTCAGAGAGCTCTGAAAACCCTGCAGCTGGAAGTTCAGCCGTAGGCTTTCAGAACCTGATCTCCTGGGCTGTTTTTTTCCACTGACAAACCTGGCATTGCCCCCCCCCCTCATCCCCTGGCATTTTGGGATAGAGCAAAACCAGAAGCCGTACCTTTGATGTCAGTCACTTATATTAATGTTGGACAGGCTTTTGTTATGGGTGAAATGTTGCCGCTTACAAACCCATCTACAGTCAGCATACTCATGAAATATTATTCACTCTGGAGAAAAAAAAAACGTTACGGTTCATTTATCTGAAAACTGCTCCATTAAACCAAGTGAGTGTTTTGTATTTGAGAGTTTTATTGTATTATAAATAATCTGCACGGAAATATCAGAAAGCTCTCAAATTCAGAATCGCAGCGCAGAGTAAGGTTGTCGTATAAACAGAAATTCCCACTGACAAAAAAACAAGCTTTTTCATTGGACAATCTGGGTCCTTCGGTTTGGGTCTCTGAAAGCACTGCCAATAAAGTTTACGTGGTTTAATTTTTTTTTTCATGACTCAGAGTGCTGCAAATTTGTTCGCTCCAGACCACCCATGGAATAAAGAACGCATTGAGATGAGGTGTCTTCCCCATTTGGGATGTAGAGAGTGACTATGCGTCACCAGCTGAAAGGACTCTGCAGGGTGACTGACACACAACGTCCTTACCCTGGCCACATTAAAACATCCGCATCAAGGCACGGCACACCTGCAGGGGCAGATTGGGGGGGCTTTTCTGATGCTCTGCTGAAGACTGAACAAGGAAGAACATTTGAGGAAACTCCTCCATCTGCTTCTTACTGCCGACTCTTAATTCTACTCAATAGTAACCAATTCCTTGATCCTGATAGATGGATGGATGGATGGACGGATTGATTGATTGATTGATTTCCCTCTGGGTTCTCTGCTAAATTGCAGTTACCAAATTGTATGTAGGAGTATGGCACTTCATCCTGGGTCATTCCCTGTCTCGCCCCAGTGGCTTCTGGGATAGACTCTGGAACCTTGAGAACCAGCATAGGACAAACGGGTATGGAAAACGGTTGGACAACATGCCAATCAAATGACCTGCAAAGTAAAGTTTAGTGGATTTTTATTTATTCATTTTAATGCGTGCAAAATGTCATTGAAGGGGAGACAAATACATTTCATCCTATACAACTACAGTTACTAACTGTATGATCATAACCAACCATCTGTTCAGAAACATGAACCATACCGTGAGCTCTTCTGTTCTATAAATGTAAGTATGATACGCCCGGGGCGGATTAGCGCATAGGCCCCGCACACCTACGGAAAAATGAAACAGTGAGTTAAATCAGCAACACCTGAGTGTTCGTGCTGATGTCAGTCTAGGGTCGACTGATAGGTTAATATGTTCCTGGGGACTGCTGTCAGAACGTTCTGGAAGCAGATTAAAGAGCATTTATTCTTAGTCACATTAGTTCATGCCTCTCCAAAGTGCAATTTATCCCATCAAAATGTTTATTTGTTTGTGTTCATTTGCGGAAAATCATTCGCCCCATAACGGCATGATAGCCTTTCAAAACATTAGCTTCCAAGAAATTCAAAACAGTTCCTAGAAAACGTCTTTAACTGAAACAATTATTGCCGCTTTTCATGATAACTCAGATAAATGATACTTCTGTTTAATTAGGGTCAGCTCATGCGGTCCTGGTTAACAGACAGAATGGTCCCTGGCAAACAATACGTGTTGCGCAGAACAATAACGGGAGTTCAGCTATAACTTAACTAGAAAACTACTCTGTAGAGAATTCCAGGAAAACAGTGTCGTATTAAACCTCATATATGCTGAACACGAAGCCCCAGCATACAGCTTTAATTCAATGTCACACTAAAATGTTATTTGTTATAGTATATTTTTAGTACGTTGCCGCAAAAAGACAAAATACATTTTCCAGATCCCAACTCCAAAAAGGGAGAGTGTATTCTTTTGGAAAACTATGGAACAGAAAACAAACAATACAACATAGAAATGGCGCGATTGTGTTAAAACCAGGCATTTGCTAATCAGAGTGCTGACAGACTATGTGCAGGATGCGGGAAGGCATCTTTGGACCGTCCCGTCGTATCGCTTGTGACCCCCGCAGACTAGGCTAGTATACTAAAAGCAAAGTTACTTTAAAGTCATTATTTTCACCGTGATTTTAGCTGATCGTGTGGGTTAAAGGGACCTGTTTCTTCGGTAGGCGTAATGGGAATCACAGCGCCGCTCTTATTGTGTCCAGGGTGCGCATCATCCAGCGGCTGCCCGAGTTCGGTTCTCGGTACGGCCGTCTCTGTGATGTGGATTTGGCACAAACGCCGTCCAGCGGGCTCCGCCACCACGTCGACATGAATCCATCTGTACGTCCATTCCTGCATGAAATCCGTAATGACAGACCAAACAATTCGTAAAAAAAAAGCAGAGGTACAGAAAACAAAGACTTCTTTTTACACAGCACCGCTCACAACTGAATATTTTCTTTAATTAATTTTTTTTCTACAGAGATTACTTTTGGCTAAACAGTCTCTGGTACTGGTTATATCGGTGCTTTTCTTTCCCCAAGGAGTCTGCGATCTAGAAAGTTCCAAGTGATGTCTTGCATGGAAACCCCTGAATCCAAAGTTATAAGATTGAAGAACAAAAGCTTTAAGTTTTAAGTAGAACATTCCACCCAAAGGTCATCGACTGGGAGAAACACTGCGAGGGCTGATGCATTAGGTTTTAGATTAAACTTTGCTGCTCTTGTGATCTCCCTGATTTCCCTCCATGTTGCAATTACAACAAGAATCACCTGAAACGCAGCCAAGGTCGCCATCATCTATACCTGCTTTTCCCTTCATTGAGATGCGGACGGCGTTCATTCGCCCGGCCGGATCTCGTCGGCTTTTTTCGTGACGGTGCGAGCACCCTAATGGTGACCACATGAGGGCAGAGCGTGACCGCAAAGAGCTCCCACGTGGGGTCCTCCCCACCCCCGATCGGACGCGGCCCGTGTTTCTGTGGCGTTCCAAGTTACGAAGTTGTCCTATACCAAAGAGAGTACGATCATCCTGAAGAAATTAAGAACAGCTGGACAAGCAAATAAATAACGAAAATTAGCACTAGTGGCTCAAGGATTGATAATATAGCATATTCCCCTTAGATCTGTCCTTCATTACTGACACTAACATTTTCTAAAATTATATATTATTATAGCCCTACATAATATTCTTAATACATTGTATTATTATATTGTCATTCTGCATATTTAGCTTCGTGTGTACGAGCATGATGTATGGAGATTTTTATGAATACCCATAACAAAAATATAAATAATTATAATTCTGTTGGGAGGAATTTGCTTTTTGTTGTTTTCGTGGAATCAGCGTAATTGAATAAATGTGCTCTCCAGTCACAGCACGACCTGCCACGATTTAATTGATAGTGGAGTGCATTTAAGATCGACTGTCAAAAAGATTATCAAAAAAACCTATGGGAATCGTAACAGGAATAAGGATGTGGTTACAATGACTAATTACCGGATCGTTTTCTTGTCTGCAAGTTAGAAGAAAGAAAGGAAGGAAGGAAAAAATATTTTCCTGCAAATTGAGTTCACCCCTCGACTCTCTCCAGTGGCTAATAGCTAAATGCTGTTTTGCTCCATTGGACCTGACTGTTGGGGCTGCTATGTTATACCATCACACCCTATTTTTAAAGTTTCTTGATGGAGGATAAAAGAGCTTTGGTGTCAAACTTATTTTATACATCCATCTTGCAGTGCTTATATCTTACGCAACGTTGTACATCATAATAATATGCATATTTAAGAATGTGCATGGTTGACCGCAGTGAACAATTATCCGCTGTGTTATTAAATATTAGACCTACATGTTTTCCCTAAATCTCCTTCCCATCATTTCATTCCACATGTTGACCCGAACACGATGATTAATTAACTACCTGAATCTCATGAAGGAGTTTACCAACTGTACGATCCAGTGATGTGGTCCAGTCATGGATAATTGCGGGTGTTCATAGCTTGCAACGCTTTCATTTTAATGAAGCCTGTATGAATATTTTAATGATGCGGAATTTCGAGATTGCACGCAAAATACATTTTGTCAAAAAAAAAAAAAAAAAAAAAACGATCAAATGGTAGCTGAGCCGGTATCTTAGGAGCTGCATTGTCTGTGCTGAAAACCTGGCTTGTGTGGAGAAATTTGCCCTCTTTTATCCTCCAGCTGTTACTTAGAGACATGCATCAAAATTCGCATCCCTAAGCTACGATAGGGCGGAGCTTCTTTGGACATTCCCACTTGTGCTGGAATTCCCACAAGCAGTTCATTGTTTGTCTTTGGCCCCACTATAACCCCCTAAGGACAATTTTGAGGTGAAGGACAGTCTTATACAAGCAACCTGTCCTCTGCTGGAGAAATTCAAGGCAAGGCGTGTTCAGAACAGAACTGCATGCATTGTTATACAGATTAAGGCTAATAGGCATTTATCGTTTGTTTTGTGTTACCAATATACAATAGTCCCGGAGAGTCAGGCTACGCTCTAATAATATGCTTGTACTTGGCTAGATGCATTTCAGGGACTGGTTAAAAACATCAGGATTTTATTTACGGGGATATAAAACACAGGATTTAATTTATGGGCCATGTGTTCTTCTTCAGCCTAGGAGGATGTACCTATTAATATATAACTCAATTTGACCCCGTTTACACTGACCAAGGCCTGATCGGTCAATAACAGCTTTCTGTTTATTTTGTGAATAAATTTGTTACTGAAAACAGTACATTTAGCTGCAAGTAAAACGAAAACACAATACTACACAATACTACATAGCCCAAACTGTCATGACACAGCAATTTCAGCTTGAAATAAATGTTTTTTTCAGCTTGCTTGTTATATTAAATGCTACATGATAGTGTCCTGTGACCATTTCTGGGAAATCTGTAGGATCTCGCGCTGATTTCCATCATGTTTTACACCCAGGTGGGCTGACTCGAAATAAGGCTCTGATTTAATTATCCTGTCTGTTTCATCCCGTTCCAGTGTAGAGTTTCAGGTCTGGCGGTCTTGTTCTGCATTTTTACGCATATGTGGGTTTGAATGATATAATTAGCAAAGAGAGCGCTGTTTTCCTTGTGCCTGTGGAACATCAAATATGGACGTCATCTTCTTCTTCTTTGTGGTCTGTTTTTAAGGCGATGATTTCAATTAGGTAGGCAAAACCGGCAAACCTCTCTCAGATCGGGTAGGTCGTTTCCCACAATGCCATTGAATTCCAGACCCCTTTCAGTGCAGACTATGGAAAACAGAGTTTCTGCAGATGACTCTACTCCTCATTCCATAGTAAAAAAAATTATAATAAAGAAGAAAGTCTGAACCGCAGGATGTAAATACACCTGAATGGTTTTTGGGTGAACTCAGCGTGTTTTTCCGGTCTTCTGGTAATAAAACCAGTCAGTTGAGAAGAAAAAGTGAAGGGGAGGGGGGACAGACAGCAAATGTGGAAAAACCTTGGTGGCTCCCAGCCTGTTCCGAAGAGAAAAGATGAGTTTTTTCATGCTAGAAGTATGTCTGCCCAAGGCAACAGCGGCCGATAGCAAGGGTGTCTACATTTGGTGCTTTTTATAGTCCCAATGGCATAAACATGACGTGGTGTGTGGCTCAGTGGGTTACAGGGCGCTGTGCCTGTCATCGGAAGGTTGTTGGATCAAATCCCAGGGTGAGAAAAGTGATGTCACCAGTCCCCCCCCCCCCCTCCCCCAACTGCTCTGACCTTGCTTCTAATTGCATGTCACTTTGGATGAAAGAGTGTGGTAAATAATCATTTCTTGTTGTGAGGGGGGAAAAAATCTGCCACGGGAAGAGCGACGGGTAATTAAGATCAAATCTGAGATGATCAGGCCTTCCCTTCAAATTGTTGCTGGCGAAGAGCGACCGTTGCCACTGAGGGATTTGAAGACTGATGTTAATGTCAAAAAAGCAGCAGGAGGAAAATGGGCAGGCTCTCAAGCTCAGTTCATTTCCAGTAATAGTATTGCCAAAATTCCCCAGGACACCCAGTTGAAAGGCGATTGTAGATCATTATATTTCAGCGGTTCAGTTCAGGCCCACCCGAGTTCCTGCTTAGTGACAAACATTATTAAAATAACCAGTTTATTGGAGCCAAAAAAAGTTCCACAGGGACTGCAGGCCTGGCCTGGGGTGAAAAATATACATACGGGGGGGGGGGGGCTCAGACGCACTGATGCCACATGGAAGCGTCGTCTCAATTAGCACAACACGCGCTACTTTGTTTCTACCTCCAGCTGTGACCCATGAGATAATCTACAAATCAATCACGGTCTGCTGTTTCTCAAACCAGGGCCAGACAAAAGATTCGCGTCGAACGGCACATACAGTAACTGTGTAACTGAGCGATTGTATCCTATCCTATCTTATCGCTACGGGGGGGCAAAAGTAAAAGGGGGTGTGGTTGTTGGGGCAGATGACGGACACCACACATGCTCTCATTTGTCCGAACTGCGATGGCAACAAAACGCAAAGCATTTCCTCTTATTTGTCCAAATTTTATCTAGATGAGATGCAGTTTGTCGACTACATGCCCCATTCGTGATCGCAAACTTATTTCCCCTTGGGCCCACTTGCTTTTCCCGCTTCTGTTTACGTCCTGCCTGTTTTCCCTCCTCGGGGGTGGGGGTGGGAGGGGGGCTTCTGCGTTTCCCGGGATGCATCAACCGGTGCTGTTTGAGCTCGAGCTGGAGTCGGGAGAGCCAGACGCTCGCGTCCGGATGTCTTGAGCTGTCCAAAGTGCTGAACAGAGCGATGCGACAAACACTGCAATACCCCGACTCAACCCCCCCTCTCAGTGAGCGATCAGATCATTTTACTATAGTCTGTCCCAGTCCGATCCTCTGGGACCCGCAGACAGTGCATGTTTTCGAGACTGGGAGCAGGGAGGGACTGGATTTTGTTAAACATTCCTTTACTGTATTCATTCCCCCTCCCCCAGCCTTTAGGTTTTATATTTGATTGGTCAAACAAGTTATCACAGACATAATCGCAGGTCTTTACTGCACAGGTACAGTGATTCATAATGATTAAGACTTGAATACAGACTGTTAGGTATACCGTGCGGCTCTAATGACGCTGTAAAGAGGCCCTTTAGTTCGCCGCTTAGCTATTGTATGAATTAGAGGGGTGACTTCCTATTTTCCCATGATTAAACCCTGAAAGGGGCTCTTTAAAGGAGCACACCTTGGGGGTGTTATACAAACACCGCACTGAATCAGGCAGGTGTCCCGTTGCAGGAAGATGAGGTGGGACTAATGTGCACTCTGGGAGGGGGGGGGGCAGGGG